CTCTTCAGATTGAAATATTTTCAACGTATGAAGTCGCAAATAAATCGTTTTAAATTGAAACATTTTTTCAGTGAATAATGTTGCAAATGAGTCGGTTTTGATTCAAATATTTGCAATAAATGATATCCAAATGGATCACTTTAGATTTGAATATTTGCAATGAATAATGTTGCAAATGGATCGCATTAAATTAAGATATTTTCAATGAATAGTGAATAAAATTACAAATTGAAATATTTTATATATTATATATTACGTTAAATTGAACTATTTTCAATGGATACCCTTGCAAATGGGTCGGGTTTACAATGAATAATATTGCATATGGGTGGCTTTTGAAATTTCATGAAAATTAACTTTAGGTTGCTATTAAACTGCTGCTTTTCGTGAAAAATAAAAATGTTCTTAACGAATTGTAAGAAACGAAAGTTAAAGAAAAATATGGTTTTTGTTATAAGAATTTTAATAAATTAAGAAAAATGTAAGAACATTCTTAAATTTTTCTAATGTCTTCACTCTTTCATCCAGTCAATTTTGACATAAATGCATAAAATTCGCAATTTGTTTATTATACAAATATTCTGTTTTGTTATATTCCTTTTCCATTCGTCACTCAGATTAACCAAGTCTTTAAGTGAGGTTTGTGCAACTGTGCATCGTTTAATTATGAATCATTTTCATCAAGAAACGCGATTGAAGAAAGAAACGGCAGAAATTGTAATAGCCTCATTGATTTGTGCGAAAATATTCAATATATCAATTTATTACATCTGCATTAGTCTGTTTCTTGCAATTGCTCTAGAAAATTTCAATGTTGCACATTTGCAATCCAACGACGTGTACTAATTAACAAGTGATTTGAATACTCTCTCCATTCGTTCTCAATTCCAATAAATGGCGTGCAGATAGTAATAGGATCGATACTAATATTAATGATAATATTCAGTCGAGAGAGACAGAGAGAGAGAGAGAGAGAGAGAGAGAGAGAGAGAGATATCAAAGTACTTAATACGGTAGATGTTCCAGTTTCCGTGCCTGTCCCAATTTCCGTGCCCCCAGATTAAAAACGTATAGTAAAAGAAAAGTTTTATATATAAATTGATTATTTATATTTTTTTTATTTTATTTACCTATCAACATCTAAGATTCACGGGGAGGTATCGTAAGAAAAATAAACAAATAACAACACTCGTAAACAAAGTCGCGGATTGCATTTTTGCTAAGGAAAAAGTTTTACTCGACCCCAGAAACCCCTCATTTTCCACTTTTGAGTAACTTAGGACATCCTGTATACTAACCATAAATTACATAAATTTTTATTGCCTCTTTGTAACACATTCTTGCGGTAGTTTTTAAGTAATTAATAGAACAATCTTCTTGATCAATACTAGATACAGGGTGTCCCAAGTGTAGTGACTACTACATTTGTTAAGAACAGAATATTTCTACGCGACTGCGTTTTACAATGCAACAAGAAGATGGTGCGCTCTTTTTAAATTTCACGAAAAATTTGGAAGGAATTTTTTCCTCTATCATTCTCGATGCTTTCTTTCTCATTCCAGATGCTCTTGGGAAGCCGTAAAAGAAATCATCCGATGACATAAGCCGGTATTTCCATTTCGTTGCCTCCGCATCAAAAACTTTCTCGCAGATGCAAGTCGATCACTTTTTATGGCTCGGAGAGAATCGATTGGGAATAACGAGAATCGTCCAATTACAATTCATTCAAGGACAAACAGCTATAATGACTTGATCCGGTGCCGGCTTCGCAATTGCTCGGCATGAGATCGCTGCCAAATCTTCAGTTTCTCTCATCGGAAAATTAATAATTGACAAATATCCCGTGAAGAGAGAGAGAGAGAGAGAGAGAGAGAGAGCAATCTTTGAGAAAGTAAAACTATTTTGGAGACTGAGCAACAAAATACAGTATCCCATGTAATAAACAATTCGATAAACTTTCTTTAAAATATGAAAAACTGGTCTTCGTCTTTAGTTTGATTTTTGTAATGACAAAAAGTGGATGTGAGAAAGTTGTAGAAGAAGAATATAAGAAAATAAGAAAGTGACAAAAGAAGAATATTAGAAAATAAGAAAATCACAAAAGAAGAATATAAGAAAATAGTAAAATCACAAAAGAAGAATATAAGAAAATAGTAAAATCACAAAAGAAGAATATAAGAAAATAGTAAAATCACAAAAAAGGTCTATATGAAAATAAGAAAATCGCAACAGAAGAATGTAAGAAAATAAGAAAATCACAATAGAAGAATATAAAAAGATAAGAATATAAGAAAAGAAGAATATAAGAGAAAATAAGAAAACAAGGAAATCACAACAGACGAATATAAGAAAATAAGAAAATCACGATAGAAGAATATAAAAATATAAGGAAATCACGACACAAAAGAATATAAGAAAATAAGAAAATCACAAAGAAAGTATACAAGAAAATAAGATAACTCACAAAAGAATTCTATACAAAAATAAGAAAATCACAAAAAAAGAACACAAGAAAGTAAGAGAACTATGGCACTCGTGACGACTACCACGTTGGCCATAAAGGCCGCTACACTGCTCCTCGGCAAGATAGCCATAGTTCCTATACTGATCGCGACGATGGCTTACTTTAATTACGACTTAATGGACCCGGAGAACCAGCCGAAGGTGACGAAGAACTTGATGAAAGAGTACGATTTCATAGTGATCGGGAGTGGATCGGCCGGCAGTGTGGTCGTTAATCGGCTCACGGAGAACCCGGAGTGGAAGGTATTGTTGTTGGAGGCTGGCGGGCACGAGACCGAGATTACCGATGTGCCGATACTGTCGCTGTACTTGCATAAAAGCAAAGTGGACTGGAAGTATAGGGCCCAGCCACAGGACTCGGCGTGCCAGGCTATGGTTGACCATCGTTGCTGCTGGACCAGAGGAAAGGTAAAGGGATTTCACGTTCGAAAGACGGGTTTTCCAATTTGTTTTCAGAGATCCTGACTGTTACAACAGTTGTTTATTTGACCGCAATGTTTTTTGTTGCAAATAATAATTATGAACGACGGAAAAATCATTTTCATTGTCGATAACGATTACACAGCCATGCAAAAGAGAAAAGGTTAAGAACATTTTCGGAGACCGTTCTATTCAAAATTTGAGGTCAAAATAGCATCGCATTCGGTAAATTTTGGACTGAACCTAAAAAAACGTTACTTTTTAGCATACGGTGGAATTTAAGTCGTTAAATTCGATAATGAAGTCAGAGAAGAAGTCGTATTACTAAAAAGTTTCGTAACATTACCTCGAAACAAAATTATAATGTACGAATTATAATGTATTCCGAGGCATTAAATGTGATTCGCAAGTCAAATTCGGAGTTTGTGACTTGTGTGGGTTTTTGTTTGCTGAAGGCGAAGCGATGAAAGCCGCAGTTATGTGAATGTTATAGTCGATTTCAGGAACTTTCACTGAAATTATATATTGCATGGGAGGATTTATGTCATCAGATTGCTTAAATAGGGAGGGTTTATGTCATCAGATTACTTAATTTAATGTTGTTTCTAAAGTACAAGTGTTTTTAATATTAATCGACTTTCATTAAGATACAAACTGTAATTTTGATAATGGCTTATTTAAAATTCATGTTTCCAGCTGATACAATGAATTTGGATAAAAATTAAGTATCGTATGATGTAGTAAATAGAAAATTAAAGAGGGTTTATGTCATCAGATTACATTATTTAATGTTGTTTCTAAAGTACAAGTGTTTTTAATAATAATACGTTCCATACCGAGCTGTTTTTACTCGACTCTTCACACTGGCCACTTGATATTAAAACTTGATATATTATATGTAATTATTAATTATCATATATATAACAATAAAACAGAACTTATTACGACCCATTCTTGTGGTGGAAATTAATTCTTCAATTCTAAATTTGTTATTAACTATTTTATAATTTTGTAATTAACTATTTTCTTAGTGCATTAAATAAACATGTAAGCATGTACCATCGGTGGTACACGCTTATGGCTCATTAAGATAAAAATTGTAATTTTGATAATAGGTTATTTAAAATTCATCTTTTCAGTTGTTACAACGAATTTTAATAAGAATTACATATCGTATGTTACGGTAAATAGAAAATTAAAGGGAGCTTATGTCACCAGTTTACTTAATTTAATGTTGTTTCTAAAGTACAAGTTCTTTTTAATATCTGCTTGCTGTTAGAAAAATTCAGATTGTAAATGTGATAATGGTTTACTTAAAATTTGCATCAAAAATAGGTATTACTTGGTGTAACAGATGAAAAATTAAGGGACAAAATTAATTAATCAATTTTTAACAAATTTTACAATGTTTTTCTGCTCTCTTGGAGATACAGGTCGTAATTTTATTAATAAAATTAGTTGTTTAAAATTGATGTTTCCAGTTGATGCAAGTAATGGTGATAAAAATTAAGTGTTGCATAATGAGATGCATACAAAATTAAGGGGAGTTTAAGTCATGAGTTTACTGTTAATGAATTTGTTTAAAAAATACAGATCTTCGAAGATACACAAATTCAGAGCATACAATGCCAGGAACTTTATTAAAAAATGATTATTGTACAACGTAGGATTTGTTAAATTAAAGTTTAAACGAAGAATTATGTCATATTGTTGATTTTTAATAGACTTATAATATTATAGACCAATAGGTTCTTTTCTGGAACTGCAATTTTTATTGAAAATTAATGATTGTATAACGAAGACTATGTGAAAGTAATACAAGTTTATATCATCACTTTCATCAATGTGAATCATCAATCGTTCCATCAATATGAACGATTTTGTTCAAAATGAAGTATGATATAACACAATTATGGAAATTTTAAGTCACCATCATATTAGTTTCGAATTTATTAAAAAATGCAGACCTTTTAGCTTGGAAATTTTTACACAATCTCAGGAAAACACACTGTGCTTATAAACAAAACTGCACTTACGATTTCTTTATTTAAAAAACAAGTGATCGGATTCAATTTATTTGTTTCCTGTTTCAATCCAGAAGATTTGCCTACCATAAAAATATTTGTTCCAAATCATGTGAATTATTCAGTACAGCATTTTTGTATAGTACCATCCTCGGTAATTTAATGCAACTGATAGCAATGTTATTGTTCAAAATAAAATAAGATACACTATTTTATACTCAAAATGGCAGGAAAATGGCTAATGTCATCACCAGACTGCAGATCTTTATGCAAAATAAAAATTATCTTCATTATTTGTAAAATAAACCATGTAAAATAAACTGCATAAACCATTATTTATTTTTTTTAATAACTTTGATAAGTTAACAGTAATACAATAATATTTACAAATTGTTTAAATGCTTTTAGTATTGTGCATTTGACCTACACATTTTTGTCATGAATGCCTAAAATCCGCAGTTTAGTCATCACGTTCTAATTGACTTGAAATTTCCAGTACTAAAGACGTATTGTTATTTCTTTCCGAATTCCGGTATAACATTAAATTTTCTGTATAAAGTACAGCTCAAAATTAATAATTATACAGTTACCAGAAGAGTAATCAGTTAAAATTATAATTATTTGAAACGTTTCTTCAAGGAGTCATTATGTATACTATGATAAACCTAAATTCCATAGTGTTATATTTAATAACAAACTACATATTACATAATAACAAAATACATATTATATTATATAATTTAAAAATATTTTAAACAGACTAAAACATGACATTTCGACTGGAAGATATCAGAAAATCTATTTAACAAGAAATTTACTCAGATACAAAGTTTAAGTATTTAATTTAATAATCAACCAATAGACAAAGTTATTTTAGAACAACCTAATAAGACATCATATGATCGAAGTTGCACTTATGTGAATCTTCCAGTCAATAGTTACTGTCCAAAATATGAGATACAACACGATGTACAATTCCAGGTTCTTGGTGGATCGAGTGTGCTGAACACAATGCTCTATATTCGAGGAAATCGACGTGATTTCGACCACTGGGAGAGTTTTGGAAACTATGGCTGGGGCTACGACGACGTTCTGCCCTACTTCAAGAAGTCTGAGGACCAAAGGAATCCCTATTTAGCTCGGAATAATAAATACCATGCCACTGGTAAGACAAGTTCTTTCAAATTCACACCATCTTAAAATTCATATTAATTTTGCATTAATTTAAAAGAAAATATTATATATTTAATATATTACATTATAATTATTTGTTTCGTATAATTATATATTCTAATTATATATTTTTAAATATACACTAATTCTGAATCATATTAAGACCAGCTTAAAAATTTCCTTGTAACGTAACATATTTTCGTAGACTGAATTCGAATCTTGCAGCTCCAGTACCTAATATTATTTATTTAAACTCATTTCGTCCAAATAAAAATCTAACATTCATTTTTTATTTAAAACCGTAAAATTACAATCATATTTTCTTATAGAAAGATATTTTAATAATCACTTTTCTAAATTTCGTTAACAATGTATAATTGTAAATATTATTTTTGATATTTACATTCAGTTTGCTTTGCATTAAATTTAGCTATGTTTTTCTTTTAAATTAAATATTAAATTTGTATAAAAATGTAAATAAGAATACATTACAAAGTAGATCAATT